GTTCTGTTGCTCTCCTTGTGGAGTTCCCGTCCCCTCCAGCTCTTACTATTTCCCACTTCTTACATAAAATTCCATTCACTCTGCCCATCAGTTGCCCATCAGGCTCAGCATCTAATTTTTATGGGGTTATTTTCTTATTAACTTTTGTAATATCTTTGTATGTTTTTCATAGAAGTCCTTTATTTGTCATGGTTTATAAAGATTTCTCTCCCCGTTTATAGCTTGTCATCACTAGTCATTTTAAAAATGACTAATAGCTGAGAAATGTTTGAGTAGGCATCTAAGATAGATCTAAGAAGTAATTATAAAATTTTTACCACATGCCTCATCACAAGGTTTTTCTCCTGTTTTCTTTTTAAAATATTATACACATGGGTTTTACATAGTGTTAAAATCAGGCTATCATCTGCAATAGACAGAGAACCGTATTTGCAAACAAACACTGAACCATCATAGGCAACAAGCTAACATAGCCTAATAGCTAAGAATTCACTAGACCAAGCATCTAACGTCAGCTTTAACACTCACTAGTTGTATGACCCTGACTAAAACATTTACAAAGTTATGCAGAGAAATAGAAGTGAGGCTTTAAGTCAGCTGCAAAAGAGTGACAGTAGAGTCTGGGAGTGACAGTAAGCAGCTATTTCTAATTAATGTCCCAGCAATACTAAAAAGATGGAGAAAATATAGATGAACTGCTGAAAAGGGCTATGGAAAGAGATCTCAGGGTGGTGTCAACTAGCTTCTTGATGCCTGTAAGATGAGGCACTCGACAACAGTCTAAGGTCCTGTACCATCCAAGCATCCAGTGAAGGCTGTCTGTGCTGGAGGACTGGGGTGGGGAAGGGGTGAACCTAAGAATTCTAGGGAGTAGAAATAAGCAAGAAACCTGGATGCCATTATTGTAAGACAGGAATCAGTCCCCACAGGGGATTTCTCATTGAGGAAAAGAAATGGATTTAAAAGTTATTGAACCAAAGCCTCTGTTCTTGCTACCCAAGCAAGTGAGAGAGGAAAAAGAATGGAAGAAAGATGGAGGGGTGGGAGAGGAATATTGGGGAGGGAAAGAGAGAGAGAAATGTGGATGGGATAAGTACCCAAATCTCCATCTTCAGCCACTACATGTTTCTTTGAGGGATCTGTGGTCGCAGCACGCTTTATCAATTCCTCACATTGCTGTTTTAATCTAGAGCTAGTCTTCCTATCACGGAGTGTTCTTCAAGGCTCCCATCTTATCAGGATGAGTAACACTGTAGACATTTCCCCAAGGAAAACACAACTGAAGTGTTCCAACAATTTAAAATTGTTTTTCTATCAAAGACAAGAGTATATAAATTCAGAGTTAACTAAGCCAAGCGGCCACCAACTTCTATATAGACAGATAACAGAAAGTCCACAGCGTACACTTCAGGATGGCAACCATCACCATGCTCATTTTGTTAGAATTCTGTGATAGGAAAATGCAGGCTTACCTGGTCCATCTATCTACCCAGCACTTGACTAGAGACCTGCTGTGCCAGCCGCGGTGCTAAATGCTGTGACTCTCTTCCATCTGTGCATTTTCTTGCTTAATCTTCCCAACAGCTCTGTGCTTTTTCAAAAGAAAGAAAAGAAAGAAGCCGTGTTTACAAAGGTCTAAGTGTGCCAGTTTCTCACTGTTAGTACAAGACCTATAGCCCTCTTGGAATCTATAATCTAGCGGAGGCGGGAGGACCTGGGTAATGATACCCTAAGGTATGTGTCATTGCAGACATATAATACCCCAGTGTGACTTCTGCAGGAAGTCTGGGAAAGCCTTTAAAGAATGAATAGAATGCTGAGAAGTAAATGCTGGGCTGTGAGAAGAGAAAGGGAGGTGGAGGAGAATTACGAAGTCAGAGAGGAAAAATTCATAGAAGTGCAGGAATAGAGAGTGCCTGCTGGAGTCAGAGAACAGCAAGGGGCGATAGGGTGGCAGGAGACGTCCAGCGGTCACAGGTTTGGAGGGAAAATTGGACCACCAAAAGAATTTCCTTTAGGAGACAGACATGTTTTAATAAATGCTGTCTGGGGACTGGATTGATGGCTCAGTGGTTATGAACGTATACTGTTCCTGGAGAGGACCTGAGTTTGGTATGGCAGCTCACAACTGTCATGTCCAGGGGACTGGATGCCTCTGGCCTGCATAGGCACCTTAGCTCACATGCACTCATCCATTCATAGGTACACATAATTTAAAATAAAATACACTCTCTCTGCAACCTTTCACAAAGCTCTGTCTGGACTGAAGAGAAGAGACTAGAAAGTGGGGGTGAGGGATGAAGCTAGCTCAACATCACTGCCGAGGCCGGGAGGGCATGTACACTAGGTGTCTTCCCAGGGAAAGGAGAAATTTCATTTCCCATCTAGACTGATGTATCATAAGTTATCCTTGTACCTATTTCCTTGCAACATAAGCTAGGATTCCCTGCTGGGCTGGAAAGGTTTTGTTGTTGTTATTTTTGGTTATTTTTTTTTGGTTCCCTGGGCTGTTTTTCATCTGGCACTGAAATGGGATCTTTGATGCAGCAGAAAGATATAAGTCAAGTGATCAAGTGATGACACAGGAGCTTGATGTGGTGATGTGGCCTGAGTTGAAGGGGCCAGCTTCCCCTCACGCTGCTGCTGGAAAGTGTGAAGTCATGCAGAAAGTCAGCGGTAGCTTGAATTGATAGGATTGTTTTGGAGGGGGAGACTTAACAGCAATGCCTGAGAGTTAATTTAAATCTAAGTAACTATGAGCATGGTGACCTTCCTCTGGGAGATTAGGCAATGATCTAGGAAAAGAGGTGGTACGCTTATTTTATACGGTTTGAACTGGAAAAGTAATGATGAGACTTCACAAAGACATGTCCAGAAACTGTTCCAAGACCAGAGCTGGTATTCAGAAGAGGATCAGGATTAGTGATGGCAAAATTGGAAAGTCTGCAAGGGGATGAAGCTGTGCATGGAGCTTGTCTCTACTGCAGGGTAACGTGATGAGCAAAAGAGCTGACCAAAGGCAAGCCTCTGAGGAAGCAGAGGGAGGAGGCTGCCCAGAGAGACATAGGGCAGGGAAGTCAGCCAAATGCAGAGCTGGAGAAGTAAAGGGAGGGGAGGGAGGGGGTGAAGATGTGTTTGCTGATAAAGGATCTCTTCTCTAGCAGACTTCCTGCCCACCCAGCTCTAGTCCACCCAGAACACCCCATCTTGCTGCTGGGCATGGGCATAGATGGCTTTGGAAATGGTTACTCTCCTGTGTTTGCTTGGGTATCATTGCACCCTTTAGCTCAGATACTCTATTTCTATAAGCAAAGACGGAGGGACCATAAAGAGGAGAACCCTGGGAGCAGTTTTGGGAGTGCTGGGAGGCCAAACGGTAAGGTGCATGGAGCAAGAGGATGATAGGGAATGAGAGAGGGCCCTGTATGAGGATGGCAGACATCGGTTTGGAGGGGCTGTTGAAAAGGTGTTCAAAATTTTAGGGTAAGAGATGTGAAAATGTGCCATACCCCCCAGATCTCCCTCTGTACCCAGGCTGCCCCTGGAACTCACTATGTGGCCCAGGTTGATGCTTATGTTGTGATCATCTTCCTGCCTCAGCCTCTGGAGTGCTGGGATTACAGGAGTGAAACACCACATGTGCCATGAATAGGTTCTTTAAAAAGCCAGGGTATAGGAGAGAATAAAGACACAGGAGCTGCCACACTGCAGCAGCTAGCAATGGCTTTGGAAAGTGGCTGAGCCTACAGGGGAGCTTGCCCCTGCCTGAAGGCATAAAATGGTAGGACAATTCAAGAGACTGGCATAGTGACAGCTTTGAGGAAGGAAACCATGGCCCAATAAGAAAAAAAAAAAAATTGCTGACTCTAACTTCTAACCCTGCTGTTTATCAACTGTGCAACCTGTGGTGAGTGATAATATTTCTTAAAGCCTCAACTTCCTTGTTGGTAAGATGAGAGCACCGCCACCGTCCAACTCCAGCGTGTAACTGTCCCACCTGTTCTTTGTTGTGGTTGTAGTTCTTTTGGGGAAAAGTGATATTTGGAGGCTGTTTTGTGCTCTTTACCTGGCCGAACCGAATAACCGGAACCTGATCGTCACAACCCCAGGAGACGGGGATGCCATTGACCCAAGAAACCAGGAGGAGGCGTGTGACAGTGATATTTAAGATGAAGAAAAGCATTTGTGCACATCACTGCCACCCAGGTCTTCCTGGGCCGTCCTCCTATGTTTGGGCTTTTACGGGAAGTCCCGGCCACCCTGTCGATTGGTGCACCCTGGGGGTCTAGTTAGATCCAGTTAAGTGTGGACAGGTGATCTCCTAGGGGGCTCTCCATGCCTGTGATGACTTTGGTAAGCCTAAGGTGCGTATGTGTTTATTCATCTCACGTACTTTGCATGTCCGGCCAGCTGTCCTACTGCAGCATGGCAGGAACTTAGCCCATTTCACGACCTCTGCTGTAAAAAAAAAAAAAAAATGCTGAGTGTGTTGAGGCCCCGCCCTTCCTAGCCCAGCCGGGGCCTCCCCTTGCGCCTTCCCAGCCGGCTCCTGCTGCTTCCTGGAGGTGCTGGAGGTGCAGACTGTGGCCCATGGGGCCCTTGGTGCTGCCCACCTGGCTGCAGCCCAGGTAGGGCGCGGGGCGGCGGGGAGGGCGGGGCCAGCGCGCTGGGCAGCAACCCACCCTCGGCTTCCACTCACAGGCACAGCCCCTGACTCTGCTCAGGCTCACCACTTAGTGCTCCGCCTGGCTGGTGTCAGCTAGCGGACTGTATTTTCTCCACAGACTGAGGAAGGGGGCTCTGCCGTTTCCCTCCTTTTACGGTTTTTGGAGAAGAGAAAATGGAAGGACGGGCTGCGTGGCCACCTCTTCTCTTTTTGCACTCCCAGGAGCCCTTCCTTTCCTCGTCCCCGCTGCGCTGTAGACTTGGGCGCAGGGCGATTGTCAGAGCGTCCTGTGGCAGCAGCGGAGCGGATTCCAGGGAAACTAGGGCCTTGGGTGTGTGTTTCCCTGAGGCCAGGTTTGGGTTGGAGTTTTCACTTCCGACCACTTTAGCGGTGTTGATCATCTGTTGACTGCTCCAGAGAGGCGGCTTCCCAGCTCACAAACCTCCCATCTCCAGCTAAGAGAAGTCCTTGTTTACACTGAAAGGCCACTGCGCACTGCCTTTTCCAACTCCCTCAAACCAAGACCCTGTCAATCTTTTCTTAGTCATCTCCCCAGCGACCCACACACATTACAACTCAGCTTGACTTCCCCTTTTTTTTTTGGGGGGGGGGGTTTGCTGAGCAGCTAAACTGCTTTCTATGTGTGCCTGATGAAGAGAGCTAGCTTCCCTTGTAAAATACAACAGGAGGCAGTGGCAAGAAGAGAGAGAGAGAGAGAAACCCCAATCAGGATGCCTTCAAAACTCAGGTGTGTTCGATTACTGAGTCACACGGTTGCGACCCCTCCCTCATTTGGCAAGCTGAACTGCTGGAATGCAAGCTGCCCAAATCAGTCCTTTCAGCACCCACGCTTCCTCCCTGTCGACTCCCAAATTTTTAAAACCATCCTCAAGTAGTGGCCGCAAGAGTTAGAGAAACAAGGTTAGAATTGTATCAAAGATGAAAGCGATGTTTGGAAAAGTCTCCACCTTCGGTTTTAAGCAATTTCAATCAATACAGTCATGATAGATAAGTTCATCCCATCAAACTCTAGTGGGTTTGGAGGGACAACCGCGTGAAAGACCCTGATATGGAACTCTGACATGGAACGGTTTTCTTTGGCTTGCTCGGTTCGACTGGTACACGAGAAGACGCGTTTCATGGCATTTTTCTGTGTTTACAGGTATAGGAAGAATACATACCTTTTCGTCTACTACTTAATCCAGTTCTGTGGCCACTCATGGATACTGACAAATATGACAGCCAGATTCTTCTCGTTTGGGAAAGGTAAAACGACTAAACAGTTTTGGTTGTTTTTTTGTTGTTGTTTTGTTTTGTTTTGTTTTTAGCTTTTGTTCTTTGTTTTCATCTGGTCCTGCTGATTGTCATTTTGAACTTCTGTGTAGTGTGCCTGGCGCCCTTCGCTTCTCCAGAGTTTGTTCTTCCATACCTGCACTTTATTAGTTCCATCCTAAACCTTTTTGGAGCAGGGAGAAGCTGAGACTGAGCGGGAAGGGACATGTCTTACCCCAGAGCAGGCAGTCTGAAAGCAAAGACCTATCTTTGGGATGCTCCATTTTGGTTCTGCACCAAGCTCGTAAATTGAATGCATTTTGAGGATCTGTAGGTTCGAGCCTGGCATTCTATGCAGAGCAGCGAGAAGTTAATGAAATTCTCCCATTGCTTTCTATCCCCCAAGTTTTAGGGTAGCTGGAGATTACCAGTAACTGGATGACAAATTTTATGCCCGGCAAGGTCCTGTTTGATCCCTTAAGAAGTAATGTGTACGTGACACAGCATGCCGATGACTAGTCACCTGCTTGGAGATGGTATTGATGACTTGAATCATAAGCTTCCTTTGGTTTCCTAAAAAGTCAAGACACTGCTCTAAACTATTCACTTCAGATTGTTAAATAATGAATCACCAGATGACTGTCAAAACAACATTCTCCGTGTTCCATCCCCACATGAGTAAGTGTCATCACAGTTTACATCTGTTTGGTGACTCGACAATTTGAGCAACTGCTGGTTTGGCTAAAAGCAAGCACGAGCGTCGGCTGGAGAAAAACCATGCTGAGCTCGTCAATCGATACTCGTGCATCATACCCGTGGAGCGGGCACGAGTGGGCATTTTGTGTTTCCCAGTCTTCCTGAAACGGGGTACAATCTAGCCTCTGTTAATAATCGCAGAGCTACAGCAGAAGGCTTGACTTCCACGATGAGCACTGAGAGGTTTCAAGCAGGGGGACACTGAGATACAAGAAGGAAGAGGCCATCTTGGCCGTTAGGTGAGGCAGTGTGGGCAGACTGCAGGACATTCACACCCCAGGCCCCAGGCGAGAGCTCCGTGCAGCTCCGCCCCTCCTGTGGGGAAAGGGGCTTAAGCCAGCAGTGTCTTGATGAAATGCCACTGTGACTATCATCGTAGCAGCTGCTTATGGTCAGATAAACATAACTGGCTCGTCCATTTGAAGGAAGACTGAGGACAACGGAATGGGAGACCATTTCCATTCCCTCTGCCAGTGGCTCTCAATCTTTTAACGCCGCGGCCCTGAAATATAGTTCCTCGTGCGGTGGTGACCCCCAACCATAAAATTATTTCGTTGCTACTTCATAACTGTAATTTTGCTACTGTTACAAATTGTAATGTAAATATCGGATATGTGGGATATCTAATATGGAAACCGTGTGAAAGAGTTGTGGGCCCTCCAGTGAGGTTACAATTCCAAGGTTGAGAAATGCTGTCGGGGCAATGACTTACTCAGTATGCCAGGAGCAGCAAAGCCTTGAACTTGTGTGACCCACTCCCTTTTTCAGAGCTGTGTAGTGGTATAGGAAGTGGGTAGGAATATGGACTATTGGTGTGTCAGGAATTGTCTCTGACCGCAGCAAGATAATGACAGCATCTACCTTATATAAATACCAAGAAAGAACCCCCGGTGCCTGGTCAGTTATAAACATGCAGATGCCTAGAAGCCAATATAAGCAGGAAAAAAAAAATCACCTTTCAAAGATTCCAAATGTGGAGAGATTTTATTTAAGATCTTAAAGCAACAAGTTTGTCACCAGAGGACCATCTGTTCCCTCCTTTTTCAATTCCTCTAAGGGAATACCTCAGTTGTGTTCTCTCACAGCGCCAACTCCAAAGTTCAGGGCTTAAAACAAAGCCAAAGTCAGTGTTGGGGGGTTACCCAAGTGCAGACAACGATGGTATTTGACATCATAGAGCATCAGTGCCATTTCTATAAAATTTCTTTGAAATTAGTTTTCTCATTGCCTTTTTTTTTTCTTTTTTTGTCAATGAAAAAGATGGGCACATCAGATTTTTTAGCAACTTCACCCCCAAGCTATCTACACCTCAAGGGGTTTAGCTTCTGACTGATTATGTTTGTGTCAGAACCGCTTCAGAATCTCATATATTGGGAATAAATACGGCGACACTGGCTGTGGCTGTTTCCTAAGTTTTGATTGTTTTTGGAAGATGACCAATTAAAAAGAACTATATATACCACAATACTTACTAGGGTTTAGTAGCTTATTTAGAGTAATTTTTGCACGTACGATAAAGACAGACACCTGCGAATGGGTGCTCTGGTACAGTCTTGCTTCACCGTGTCCGTGTTTGTTTGTCATTTGCTGACACAGACTCAATGGTGGACACGTTTCATGCTATTGGGCTGGTTATGCGGGCTTGCCAGTCCATCTCCCTGTTGGAGCTGCTGCACATTTATATTGGCATTGAGTCAAATCATCTCCTCCCAAGGTTTCTGCAGGTAAGTTTACTCATGCTGTTACGGCGGAGCCTATTTAAATTTTGACTTTGTCCTATTCGTAGCCCCTACTGATTTTATGGCAGAATTCGTTCACAGGGTTCCCTTACCTAAGCCATCACAGTTACAACGGCCCACTGGCGGTGTTTGGGCGGCGCCACTGGCGAGCCTGTACACTGTGTGGATCCTGTCCTGGAGACTCTGTCCGTTCACCACTCTCCATGTACCTCTCTCTGAGGTAGAGAGGACAGTGGAAAGGCTCCAAGCTGAAGCGTTTTAGACTTGGGTTAGATGCCCGGCCGTCTTGACCACTGTGGGGTCCACAACCACAACCACTGCGCTGTCGATAGGAAAGAATAGGGGGTTGACATCCAAAACGGCAGTGTTTGTTTTAAAGGCAGGTTGACAGAAGACTGGAAATTTACTGGTTGGTAGATACTCCACACAGGAAATCCTCACTGGATTAAGATTAAAAACAGTTCTAATGGTATTTTTCCATTAAAAAGACAAAATAAGGATTAAGTGACTGCACAGAGATACATAAAAAAAAAAAATATCCAGGATTTGGAATATCCATATAAATGAGCATAAATTCAGGTATTCTCAAAAGGAATCTGAAAACAAACTATTTTCTAAACTATCAGAATCTTAGTATCTTTAAAAACCTCAAATTTAAATACCCGGCTTAGAATGTACACATAAAGCTTAAAACTTGTTGGATTATAAATCCCTGCATTAACTTGCTTAAAATACCATGAAAATTTAAAGGATACAAATAACAGTCCAATCCTTATGTATCTATTAAGAACCCAGGACTATGGAAGGGCATAGCAAGAATGGGTCAGAGAGATTGGCCGCGTGAGGACACTTGCCACCAAGAATGATGTCCTGAATTTGATCTTTGGAAACTCACGTTATAGAGGGAAAGAATTAACTCCTACAAGTTGTCCTCTGACACAGCACGCACGCACAGTCACGCACACACGCAAATGTTTTAAAAGATAAGGGGCAGATTTAATTTTACTTAGTAAACAAAAATAGGGAAGTAATATTTATTAGAATGAGGACATTTTAAGTTGAAATATCAAGTATTTCAAAAAATCAAGATAGTAATGTACTATATAGTTATATTAAAATTAACCAGACAAGAGAATCTCCTTCATTATGTTACTTTACAAACTCAAGAGGGACACAGATTGGTCATAGAAGCAGTGAATAATTTAGAAACAAAATTTATTGGTATTTCTGACTTAATGGGTGTGCTATTCTTTGACAATGCCAAAATGTGAACACCAGAATGCTAATTTTGGAGAGCAGAACTAACGACTCAGCGTGCACTGAAGCTGCATCCCAGCATGTGGAGTTATTCACTAGAAGCTGTATCAAGCTCATATAAAATCTGAGTCATGTTGTCACTTTCACTCTTCTTTAAAGGGCTTAAAGGGCTTAAAGGGCTTCCTTCCTTTCTTTTTTTCTTTCTTTCTTTTTTTTTTTTTTTGGTAACAGCATTTTCAAAACTAAAGGTTGTGTATACTGTAAGATTAGATAAACTTGTCATGAAGAAAACTGAATTAGAGCTTAAAATACCCTTAGAAAATGCAGACATATTGTTTGCTTGACAAAATTACCTAAACTTGCCAAATTACTATAGAACTGAGTCGTCTGAGATTTTGGAGGTGTAAAAATTCCAGAATATTCAAGTGTGGTTTTTAATCACTGTTAATTAAATCTCGAATGGCTTATAGAGCCAAAGAACCAACCCCCGATTTGGTCACCTAGAAACAATAGCAAATACACATGCAGATGTATTTATTTAAAAAATGAATTTGCTAAGTTCAGTGCTAATGGAGCACAATGACATTTAAGTGCTCAGTTCTGGGGAAGGACAAGCAGGACTCAGGGTACCAGGGCCGAGGCTAAGCATCGCAGACGATGAGCACAGCTCATTTAACATGCCTGTCTGGCTTCCAGTTTTACTTGAGGTTTTATCTGCCTTCTGTTGCTTTTATAGCATCTGTTCTCAGAATGGGACTGGGATTGGAAAAGCTTTATAAAACCATCAAGGTAAAGGCTCATATTCTGTGCCTTTCTTTATAAAACGTCTGCAGACAATTAGAATCCACTCTTTAGGGGACAACTCCAAGTACTCCACTTACAACAAAACCCTAGGTTGTGAAATCATGTGTGTGCTCCCATTTCCCCATTTTTAAAATGAAGAAATGGTACTTAGAGCAGCTGAGTTATTTACACTGATTATGGCTGACTGCACACAGTATTTTAACAAAATGCACCTTGTCCTGCTGCGTCAGAGAGGACAAAAGCTATGTCTACAGAGCTGTGATATTATGATATTACCTTCAGGGCATGACAAAGACACACTGGAATGTGTTCTTTTGAGGGACAGGTTTTCCAAAATGTCAAGATGAATAATTCCAGCTAGCATGAACAATGGATTAGGATTAGCTAGTTGAACAAGTAATGTAACATCTGGCAAGTGCTGGTGCCGAGGGAATGAGGGTAGATATGGGTTTGTTTACTGTTATTAAATGTTTTAACCTCACACATCTAACGTCAAGCAATAAACCATAACTTTTAAAATCATATGCAGTTGCTAAAACAAAAAAGTAGAGAACACATGCACTATAAGACATCTATATTTTATTTTTAAAATACTTAGGAAAAAAATCCAAGACTATAACACAAAAAAACTGTTTATTGACTTTTATTGCTTATAATAATTTTCTATCACTTAAATTATTTACAGGAATATAACACAGAGCTTAGCACTTAAGTTATATAAAGAAATATAACAGAGCTTTAATGTTATTAGTTTCAAGTGGGAAACTTCAAAAGATACAAAAGAAACATGTTAAAAATAACAATACAAATGAAAGCTAATAGTTTTCCCTTTCTAGCCCTTTCCTTCCAAACAAACTTGCATATTTCATTGCATCAGTTTTTTGGGTTTTTTTGTTTTGTTTTGTTTTGTTTCGTTTTGTTTTGTTTTGTTTTTTTAAGTTAAATGGGGAGTAGCTGATTTCGATAGATTTCTCTCAAGAAAACCAAAAACTAAAAACTTGACTGTTGCAGAATGGAAATACAGCCACACCTATAGGGTTGATTTTGCCGAAACCCCAGAGGCTTGTCTTGACAAAACCTCTGGATATTTTAACTTAAAAAAAAAAAAAGAAAAGAAAAAGAGGAAAACAACCCCGAATGAACCTTTTTAGCACAGTGTTTGATAGGTATGCCTTACAGGAAACTCTAAGAGTAATATAGTTTAGCTGAGTGCAAGTTCAGCGTCGTATCCAGCCCCTCCGTCAATCACCATGAACATTGCTGCAGAGGTATTAAAAATGCCCTGCAAACAATACTTCCTACAGATCTGGAATCGGAATATTGACAGTACAGCTCTGAATACTGTGTTCTGAAACACTAAGATCTTTTCATTTTTGTCTCTTTAGTGCCACTCCAAAACTACCATCCAGACAATGTCATGTTCCTTAAAGGAGTTTCTCCTAAAAACTAGACACTGAAACAAGAACCTCCTGGCTGTTCTGAGTGAACATTCCAAATGCATACCACAGATAATAATAAATGTTTTTTTAAAGTATTTTTAAAGAACTTATGTCTTTAGCCAGAGAGATTGCTTAGTGAGTAAAGTGTTTGTCCCACAAATCTGGCAAGCTGAGTTCAGTCCTCTGGGATGAACTCTTAAGATGGAGATAGAGAAGCAACTCCAAAAAGTTGTCCTCTGCCGTCCACATGTATACCATGGTATTCACATCACGCACTCATATCACACGGCACACCGTCCACCCCACAGTTCATTGATGTTTACAGAAGGACAGCTGCGGGGGCACCCACATGTCATCCCCGTGCTGGGCAGGTGGAGAAAGGAGTTCCCGAATCTCACTGACCTGCCTTAAAAAATACAGTGGCCAGTGCTAGGAAACGACACTGGACATCAACTCCTGGCCTCCACACACACCTTCACCTGTGTGTCACCTCACATTCGAACATGTGAACATGCATATACAAATTATGTCTTGTGTGTTTTTTTTTAAACATTGATAGAATTTTAAATAATTACGCTTTTGGTAAAATAATAATTTTGAAGTAGAAACTTGTTGATTTGAGAAATTCTTCCGACTGTTGTGGTCCTGTTTTTACCCCTTCGTTTTTCCTATTTCTTGAATTGAAAAAAATACTGTTTGAAGTTTCATACATCTCTTAATGAATGTTGGGCATTTTTCATGCCTCCTCCCCCCCTGCTAAAACAATTCTTCTCACTAATCCCCACCCCCCCCTTCATGCCTTCTTTTGTGTATGGACTACTCAGTTTATTTAGAGCTGTTTGCTTGAACCACCCAAGCTCAGCTAAGAAACCCTTCACTCTTATAAAAAGTACCTTGCCATTTAACAACGTAACTTCAGTCTTTTTTTTTTTTTAATTAAAAAAATGCAAAGGTCACAGAACGAGGCTGAGGAATCATTTTTCTCTTTACCCCTCTATGAGGGTTCCAGGATTTCATGTTCATTCAGGTCACCAGGTCTACCTGGTAAATACCCTGACCTGCTGAGCCATCTAGCCAGCTGTAGAAACTCCTTTAAAGAATAGGCCTGGATGTTAGGTTCTGGAGTGGCTCCCCAAGTAATAAAAGGAAGAGGTCCTAGGGTTTAGGACTGTCTAGATTTTGATTCCACACACGAAGGAAGCCATTACCACCTGGTAAAACACATGCTTTTGTGTAAAAGCAGATAAATAATAACGGTGCCTTCTCAGTGTTATTGTGGAGATGAATGTAAAACTGTCAATTTGGAAATTGGCAGAAAACAGAAAGCATTGACTTTTAACAACTTACTATCTCTAACTAAACTCCTCTGTTTTGCTGCCATTGAATATAGGTAAATAACTATCAGATAAATCAGGTTGACATTGTATATGGCAGGAATCTTCCTATGTCTGTACACATGCTGGGTTGGCACTTGGGGGCATGCCCACTGCTTATTTCTAGGCTAAGGAGTCACAGAGTCTTCACTGATGTTTTAATATAGTTTCATCATACAGCCTTAGGCTCACTGTAGATTTTCCTCTGTCCTCATCATTTAAAGGGCAGCCTGACATAATAGATTGCTTATAAATCTGGTGACCAGGAGACCTGGGCTTCCTATTTATTCATGTATGGACACAACAGTTAAATTATGTAGTTTCCAGATTTCCTCCAAATGAGAGTAGGGTTGGTCTAGTATTAGAATGTTCTACATAGAGGGTGCCTTTTACGTCTAAAGTTTTTAAAGTACTCAAACACGAGATTAGAAGTCTATGCCATATGCATTCATGCATGTGTTTTTCCTGAGATTTTTAGCAAAAACATAGGCTCTCTGAGTTTTAGGCATTAATCAAATGCAAGATGAGATAATGCCTAAGTATTTGTGAGGTACTCATGTCTTACATCTAAGAGCTGCCAGGGGGCATGTCAGTCAGGCTGGGTTACTCAGGTTAGAATAATTTATATAAACACAATTAAGTTAAATAAAGAAACTAGACAGTTATATATTAAAGGACTAACCAAGGGAAAAGAGCTCTGTGGATAACTCCCATAGACTGACTAAGTTTGAATCATGTCTAATTCCCCTTAGCCATGCAAGGCCCCTCTTGACTAACCTCTGTAGTCATAAACATGCTGACATAGCTTATACACACATGGATTTCTGATCATGTGGCCTGCTGTTGACAAATCTTGGATTTTTTTTACACCAACAGCCCATGATTCTGTTGTGGATCATTCCAGATTTTTTTTTTCCCCTTAATCAGCTTTAAAAAAAAAAAAAAAAAAGACGCTTATGAGAAAATACAAATCAATCCCTTTCTGTTTTCTTTTCCTTTGCCACTAATACAGTACATCAATCTCAAGTCCATTTTTTTGACCACTGAGAGCAAAGAGAAATGCCCTATTAAACACAAAAATGTGTAGTCTGTGTTAATATACGCAAGGCACTTGAAAGAGGACTGTGTTTTACTTAAGCTGGTAATTGGAGCAAAGCCAAAAACATCTGAATTCTCAATGATCTTTAAATGCTTATAACTTGGCATATATAATATCTATTCCAAGAATGTGTTAAATTCTATTTTCTACTGGCTTATAGGGGTTAGGATTATATTACTTCCCCGCAAAAAGGAAAAAAAAAAAAAACTACAGTGGCTTCTCTACTGGCTAAAATTGAAATTTCCTGGCCTGTCATTCAAAACCTTTCACAACCAGGCCCCAAACACATTGTCAATTGCTTTTCTTATTTTTCCTCCTCCACACCACCCACACCGTGGTTCCTGCTCCTCCCCAGGACTCCTTACACCATCACATTGCTGCTTCTGCCCAGGCTGCTCTCGTCTAGGACATCTATTCTCATACCCACTCTACTTGACAGTTCCAACCCACCAATCAAGAGCCAGCTGAAATGCCTGTCTTCGAACCTCTCTGCCTCCTCCTCTCCGGCAGCAAGCACCTCCTTCCATAACTGTGCCTCCCTCTTCAGCGTGCTGCACCGCAACTACATTTCCCCCCACTAACTCTGGAGGAAGGGCCACTTTCACCATACCGTCTATTACAGTGGTTCTCAAGCTTTCTAATGCTATGACCCTTTAAAACAATTCTTCATGTTCTGATGGCCCCCAACCAAGACATTATTTTTGTTGCTACCTCATAACTGTAATCTTGCTGTTGTGAATAGTAATGTAAATATCTATGTTTTCCAATGGTCTTGGGTGACCCCTATGAATGGTCATTTGACCCCCAAAAGGATCATGAGAACCACTGACCTAATAAATACATAGTGGACACTCAGGTAGGAGCTTGCCGAAGTGAACAGAAATGTACATATGTCAAAAGAGAAGAAATAGCTTGACTTGGATAAAATGTTATTTTTGTTTCACTAGATATAATTTTAAAAAGTACAGAAAAACAAAGAAAAAAGCAGGAAATTAACCTCATTCATAACCCAACTCTTTCAAGGACAGCCACTGTTAATAGTTTAGAAAATGCATTTCCAGTAAAGCATTCTTTTAAACAAAGCCCTGTTTTGGAAAATTAGAAAATTACCTAACCGGCACAACAGATGGTCCTAATTCTTAACATGTTTCTATTAGCTCACAGAGAGAGTAATTATCCTCTTTGGGGTGATCACCAGTCAAGAGGAAGTCCAAGAGAAATATGTAGTATGTGTTTTATTCATTTTTTGGAATCTACTGGATATGGTAAGGTAAGTAAGCAAAATTACTGGGCACGGTGGTACACAACTTTAATCTCAGAGGAAAAGATAGGTAAATCTCTGTGAGTTCAAGGCTAGCCTAGTCTACATAGCTGGTACCAGGCCAGCCAGGACTACATAATGAGATCCTGTGTTAATCATCAATCAATCTGCTGAAAGAAGGAAAAATTGCCTTAGTGAAATGAGCAATAGCTTCTTACACTGGTTACTCTGAATGAGACAGAAAAACCTGTTTTACATTAAAATATATATGTATTTACATATTATTTTATATTAAGATAGAAGTATATATGTGGGGCTTTCCAGAACAGGCATATCAAGAAAAATGAAAACAAATCTTGGTATTCCAAGTGCAAATCCAAGGCCCTCAGGTTTCCAGCAAAAGCCTCTGCCATGACACCAACCTGTAATGACCTCACAGTTATGTACTAATAGAAGACACCTTATCATTGTTCTAGCATGCATTATTTTAATAACAAAACAGGACTTTTATTACTTCTCAGAACCCACAAAGTTGGTGTCATAGTCAGCTTTAGTTGTCAACTTGACATGCTGGAAAAGAGGAATCCTCAGCTGGGGAATTGCCTCCATCTGACTGGCCTGTGGAGGCATTTTCTTGATTGCTGATTGATGGAAGGTGGGCCTGGAATCCACTGTGGGCCTGGAAGTCTCAGTAAGCAGCTTTCCTAGTCACAGCTTCAGGTCCTGTCCCGACTTCCTTCAGTGGTGGATGATCACCTGGGAGTCTTTCTTCCCCCCAAGTTAGCTTTGCTAAATGTCTTATCATAGCAACAGAGAGGCATACTACAACAGTTGGTTTCTGTGACTTCAAGAATATTTTAACATAGGACCTCATTTCACTGGGAGAAATGTACCCGTATATCCATTTCTGTATACAGCTGCAGTGAGAGCTAATGGCTTAGTGCTCAGCCCCCCAAGAACTACTGCTGCTTCAAACATCTGGATAGGAACAGGTCCCAAAAGAATCTTTAGTTTTTGGCTGAGATTGTGTATTTCATTATGTTTTGTTATTATTATTCTAATGTCAATAACTCTGCTAAGTTAAAATATAGACTCAACAATGGGTTCAGTCCTAAAGATTGTACATGCACATAGTAAGCTATTTAATGTTTTTTTTTTTTTTTTTTTTTTTTTTTTTTTTTTTAAATATAGCATTTTAGACTAAGGCTTTGGTAGCCTGTAACTTCCTATTTATACAAGTCATTGGTTTGTCAGTAGAGACCACAGTCTTCTCATATACTGGAATATGAGTCCATCCACCTCAGTATCCATTCTCAGAGAAACTCAACAGAACAAAATGACTTTCATATTGAAAGCGGTAGTAAACTCTGATGGGCTGCTTTGGGAGCACATAGAGGACACAGCAGGATGAAACCCACTCCACGCTTATTTGCTACATGACCTTGGGCGAAACCCACTTAACTTTTTGTAAATAACTATTTTATTGAGATATAGTTTACCTGCCAATAATTTAACCTTTTAAATATAAAATGTATGGGTTTCCATATACTCACAAAGATCCACAGCCATCACTGTTATTCAGTCAAACAACATTTTTATCACCCATTAGAAATCCTATACTCACATGTGCACATTCCCTCCTTCTCCTGGCCCAGGCAGCCATTTTTATACTGTAGGATTTTCATACTATCTGTATCGATTTTCTACTTTGTGTTTCATATAAATGGAATCACTAAATATTTGGTCCTTAGTTACTATCTTCTTTTTCCTAGGAATAATGTTTTCAACACACTGCTGTAGCATGTAAATGGTATTTCATGGCATTTTGTGGGTGAAGAATATTCCATTTTATCAACATAACATGGATTATCCACATAGTTGGTGCATACTTGCATTATCTGTACATTTTGGCAATAAGGCATATTGCCATGGGTAACCATGCATAAGCTTGTTTTCCTTATAGCTAATAGTAAAAACCCCTGGGCTCTCTTTCGCTACTGTCCTCTCTACAAAATGAGGCTAGAAATATCATCTCAATCCACTGTGAAATAATTTGCATAAAGAAAATAATGAACATCGGTTAAAGGCACCAGTGAAAAGATCACAACTAACACGAGAACTCATGGTGAGACGGACGCTTCCTCCTAAGAACATGCTAAGGACATCCGTACTTGCCCCTCTGTTCAACGTTGTACTGAAATGCCCAGCCACGGCAATTAGGGAAAAGGTGTAAAAGGCATCCAGATGGTAGAAAACTGTAAGTGACCAACAAGTTTACAAGCATTGTACAACATAGGATCAATACAAATTGGTTGTATTTCTATTCAGTGAACTATCTGGAAATGAAAATAACAAAACCAACCCCGTTTACAATAACCTCCAACAGAATGGAGCACTCAGGAAAAATAGGCAGACCTGGTACAACAAAGATCTTGATAAACGGAAGGGCATTCCACATTGGAGACTTAATGTTGTTAAGTCTGCATAAATCATAAATCAATCTGCAGAGTCACTGAGAGCCTTTTTAGAAACTCAACTGGCTTTGAAGAAAGTAAGGCTGATCTTAAAATTCACATAGAAACCTCAATTCAAATGAGTCAAACTTTTCTTAAAGTTCTTAAAGTTTAAGAACACACTTGGTCTCAATTCAGAGCAGCACTATGAGTATGGTGCAACTCTATGGACCAATCAGGAGACAGAATTCACAGTTCAGAGACAACCTCTTCTAGTGTGGGCTAAGTTTTGACAAAGATCCCAATGGGGGAAAGAAGAGTTTCCTCAACAAAAGGTAACGGGATAACTGGATACTGCATGCAAAATATCAAGTTGTATTTAGTTGTATTTGACAGCATACCCTTAGGACACCAAAGCCACAAACAACAAAAGTGGGGAAAAAAATTAGATGATTCGAACTGTCTGAGTGAGTTCCTATGATGGTTAATATTATGAACTTGACTGGATTCCGAGGGCATTAAGGAAGCACACCTTTGGGTGCTCCTATGAAACCCCAGAGTTTAGCAGAGGAAGACCTGCCCTGAATGGGAGTTGTTTCATCTTATGGGCTGGGATCCTGAACCGAATGAAGAAGAAAGAACGGAAAATCAGTTTGTGAGTCAATAGGCCATCTGGGTAATTCTGATGTGTGTTGGAGTGTAGAAACTATTAGTTATTTATATAAATAAAATTATATTGAGCACTTTGCACTTTAAAATTACCAGCTTTAAAATTACCAACGCTACTCCAAACCTGCTCCTAAGGCCAGTTCTGATTGTGTATCAGGGAAAACCACAGAAGCAGAGGGATGGTAGATATGAATTTGGGAGTTATGTTTGAATAAATTCATCCTTTAAAATGTGTGCAAATAGGCCTGACTTTTCAAGAAGCCTAGCTGTTGCTGCATAAATGAGCTTGGCTTTTAAATAAAATTGAAGTCATTAATCATGGAAGCTTATAACTGTAATTTCTTGGAAGGAGGTAAAGCTACATTCTTGCTCTGTTCAGCTGTATAATTATCTATGATCCACCCCAGGAGACAAGCCAGAGAGACACAGGTTCCCCCTGCAACAATACACCATTTTTACCCCTGCCCTTGCTTAAATGGTAGGAATAAAGCATGTAATTTCCACACTTTCAATTTTATTCCAGTGTTTAATTTGTAGTAAGGTGTTTTCTTCTCTTATTTCCCAGACAGCAGCAGCAAATGATGCTTATGAGCAATCTGTCTCCTTCTAGGTATACATACAGCATGCTCTCAGTCATAGGAATATCCTATGCTGCCTTGACATGGCTCAGCCAGACACTGTGGATGCCCATTTACCCTCTGTGTGTTCTTGCCGAAGGTAAGAATCATGGGTTGTATTTCTGACTGATATAAGCCATTGAGCTGATTCCTCACTACATTTTTTTGATGAGGAAATTTCTATTTTTGGTAGTTTCTTGGCTTACTGATGATAAGAACTAGAATCAGTGTATTTCCTTGCTGCAAAGAATTAAAGTTCAGCAGGGTGTGGTGGGGTACACCTGTAACCCTGGGGGCAGGAGCACCTAGGCCGACCTGGTCTACATGGTTATCCAGGCAGCTAAGGAGATAGAGGAAAAACCTGCCTCAAAGATTGGGAGGGGAGAGGGAAAACGGGGTGAGGAAGGGGAAGAGAGAGGGAGGGAGGGGGGAGGGAGACCTAAAGTTTAAGGTGGAAGGGTCCCTGGACAGGGTTCAACACTGAGCTAGAAACAAGCATCTGCATCCAGGACCTTGCCTGCATTAACTACGAGTTTGGGGCAAGCCATTTTACCCCTGAGTGTAGGTTTAACACATAGAGAAGGTAGAGTTTAATATTGTTTTAATACTTAGAAATCTGGTTTTCTCTGGCTACAGTGCTTCCTACTACCTCAGAGACATCCTACCTCTGCCACTGACCATTAGACCACCTTCACATGAGTATCCACTTTCAGAGGGAGGGCCCTGACTTTTCAACTAAGGTAGTTCTCCAGGACAGCACCACAGATTAATATTTTATAGGGTACATCTCTGTTGCAACTAGACATTTGTATGATCCTTGGTTGCATGTCCCTAATTAAACTAGTTCCATATGCACACACAGGTGTCTGACTTTTGCTTCCTTCATTTCTCATATGCCCAAGTGTACATGCTCAACCAACAGAAGATCAACTATTGCCTGTATTAATAAAGGAAAATTGAAGAACTAAAGTAAAGCATTTTTCAATGCTTTGAGGCTAAGCAAAGAACGCTTCTCCCAGTAGTGGATTTGACAGGCTATAGGGAGTTTCTCTGAAAGTCATGATTAAAGATTTTAAATAATGCAAAAAGCATGTTAAAGTAACTATAGAAAAACACAAACATTATAAGGAGGGTGCTGTTGTCAATAACTAGCATATAAAAAAATACATGTTTTCAATATTTAGTAATGGCTAGAGACAATAACTCATAATTCAAATTTTTATATTGTTTTTAAAATGAATTGTTAAAAACTGGAATATATTATCTTCAGAGAATAATGTTTTACAAACCATTAAAAACAACAACAACAAAACCTAGTCACCCATTCTTTAAGAATGAAATCCCTCATTCATGGAAGGTTTGCTAAGTACAGTTTTGTCTTGTCATATGGAAATGCTACAAAGAACACAAAAGGAATGGATGTTGGGAAGAGTATAAGGTTTACATTAGGAGGAATACAATTGTAAGATATGTACAGCTGAGTGAGCACAATCAGTAATAGTGTACATTACCGAAAGAGTAAATTATCTCACTACCAAAAAAAATGAGCTGTTGAATACCAGAGTTCATCATTCAGCATTGTATACATATTTCAGAACACCACACTGTGACCCATAAATATGTACATTATGATTTTTTATTTAAAACCATATTAGCAAAATGATAAGATAATTTTTTTCTAAATACTATATAATGGACTCTTTCCCTAAAAAATGAGGAAGGAATAGGTATACAAGAAACATTTCTATTTTTGGTGTTCAGAATTCTAGCCCCTTTCCCTGTTGAGGGAAGCCTGTTTTGATATGGATGCCATCAACTCCCTCTCTTTCACTAGCTTGTAAATCACTCTCCCAGCAACCAAAGTATGGCAGAAGATAATCAAGGCGTACACACGATACGGTGTTAATGATGATTAGCTCCAAACAGTGGAGAAAGGGTGGCTGTCATCTCTCCTTTGCATGTGCTGAATGTTCCAGAGTACAAAACTACTCAAGGAAGGAAACCTACTTTAAGTAAAGTTAACAACTCTTATTTAATTTTAAAGCTATACTTTTTTATGTCTTATAAATTCAACAAATAAACAAAATGCTCCTATAAACACCCAAGCAAATGCTGGGCTGCTTACAGAAGAATGCTGGAGACCTGGAGGCAGCCCTTGTTAACAGCATGTTTGGTGTCCCCTCGAAAGCCTGCACCAGGGCCACTCACCCTTTATTTATGTGTCTTGGCTCCCGACTTTATCACACTGCAACCTTTTCATTTTGAAATAATTTCAGACTAACAAGAAATTGTAAAAACAGTACACCGAGGAGCTAGAGTGAAGGCTCAGCAGTTACGAGCAGTGGCTGCTCTCCCAGAGAACCTGGGTTTGGTTCTCAGCACCCTCATGGTAGTAGCTACAACTGTCTGCTACTCCAGTCCCAGAGGTTTCACACCCTCTTCTGGCTTCCACAGGGACTGCATCACATAGTACACTTACATGCATACAGGGAAGACACTAAGACACATAAAGTAAAAATCTAAGTATATTTTACTTCCCTTAGCTGGATGGCAGCAGCTTAGACAATGATAAATGATGCATTTATGCTTGTGATCCTTTATATGTACCTAACACTAAGCTAGCCTCCCCACACAGAATAATTTGGGTCAGCATTTCTCTAAACTTGTATTAAATACTTCAAGGGCTGATCAGAGAGAAAACAGTCTAAAGCTAGTCATGGTGACAGAATGATGGGTCATCCGTTTTATTACTGCAGAACCTTTCAGAGTCTTCACCATGTTAAACATGTGTCATGTAACTCCAAGAGAAAAATATACGCAGCACTCTCTGTACCTGACTGTCTCCCTATTTGTGAGTGAGAACAGATGTATTTTTAAGTCATCATTTTAAGAACTACTATACAGTCTTTCCATGTAAGCATGAAATGTGCGGATTCAACAACAGCACAACTGGGTAATAATTTACTAGGAATGCTGGAACAATTTAAGGGACATAATCACTCCACAGGTTTCTGTACCAAACTCGCCTTTAACTATAAAGATTCAGCAATCATCAGAAAACTGTCCTTACCAATTCAAAATCTCCTTCATTAAAAAAGATACACACATAAACCTCTGTAACCCAGAAGGGGAATCTTTACGATCCTTTTTTCTTTAAACAGCATTCACCATCTATCAGTCACTGCCTTTTTTTGAGTCATTTGGTACCAACTCTACCATGCTGCCATTTGACATGTCCACCTATTTGCCTTACGTGCTGAAGCTGTATCTCATGATGCTCTTCATAGGTAAGTAGGTATTTTGTTTTTGCATTCTTCTATTGACCTGAACAGACCTGTAAGCGTGAGAGGAACTAAAGAGGAAGCCCAATCCAGTGAACTAGATAGTCCGGGTAAGGCCCCTGATGCTCTTTTGTGGTGCATCACAAAACCAAGTATTACGCAATTTCACTTTACAGCAAGAACAATGCGACTAGCAGAAAATGTGCTTACAAGATGCATGAAATACCGACGTTTGACCACAAGGACATACATATAAAACAAAATGCCAAACAGAAGGATTAGCTATTTTTTTATTTTTTCCATTTATAACCATTTTGTTTTCTGTTTGGCTTTACATGCTAGTACTTCCTGGCAGGCAAATAGGAAGTTGATGATAAAGGATCAAGAAAAACTTAGAACAAAAACTTACAGTTGTGGGGAGGGAGTGGGGTGACGAGCTTACGAGCACTACTGTTCTTACAGAGAACCTGACTTCAGCTCACAGTCATCCATAGTTCCGGTCCCAGGGGATCCACACCTTGCCTTCTTGCAGCAGGCATGTGTGTAGCGCTCGTATATACATGTGGGTAAAATGCTAATACACACATGAAATAGATCTTTCCAAAAGTTGTGTTTAAGCCAGGCTTAGTGACATACACCTTTAATCCCAGCACTTGGGAAACAGAGGCAGGTAGGTCTCTGTAGTGAGTTCCAGGCAGGGCCACATAGAGAGAACACACTCATACACATACACACACAGAGAGAGAGAGAGAGGGAGGAGGAGGAAAGAGTAGGAGGAGGAGAAGATACACATACACACAGATACTTCTGTGGCATTTCAAGATGGATGAGTAGAAGCATCCAGTATTTTTGCTCCACAAACAAACAAACAAACCACAAAGCAGTAGGTATAGAGCTGCATTCTGAGGTGAGTAACAGAAAATATGAGGAAAAAAACCAGAACACGGTAATATTAAGACCTGCTATAACAACAGACACAAAATATCTGTGTATCTGTGACAAGAACACAAAAAGTTCTTGTCATGCCATCTATACCCCCAGGGGTGGAGGAATCTCCTTCTAGATGAGGGTGAATGAACAGAGCCCCAGAAAACTGTGTTGAATACAGGGGACTGGAGGACTTGCCCTTTAAGATGAAGGTATGGTCAGTAGAGCGTAGGATCAGAGCAGTGCCAGGACCCGGCATCCTTTTCCATAGATCTAAGCACCGGTACCTGCCACTCACAGGGTAAGACAAGACTTCTGTGCTGCTATTGCTTCTCTGACTGCAGGGGTAAACTGCAGTACCCCTGAGCAATTTGAAGGCTTCACCTAGAGCTTTTGACTACTGGGCTATGGCCCGAGGAGGCCCACAAAGAAACCTAGTCAGGTGCTGGCTGTGCCCTGCTCTCACTGTCTCCCACAGAAGACAAACAGAAGGCCACTGAGAAAGTCCAAGAGAAACTGCAATTTTTTTTAAACCAATGAAAATACAGGATCCCAAACCCATGGGATATATAAAAAACAATGCAAAGGATAATGAACAAGAACACAAAAAGAAAATATTTCAAATAAACAACATCATGCATCTCAAGGACTAAGCACAGCAAGAATGAACCAAATCTCAAATAAAATAAAAATCAGACCAGAAATAAACCAGAAAATAAGATGTCTACCAAGGGTCAGTGAAACAAAGCTAGTTATTTCCTTGAAAGGACAGAAAGAGTGGACAAACCTTTCAGTTAGAATAACCCCCTAGAAAGACTCTACCTAGTAGGGTATTAAAGTGGATGCTGAGACTCATAGCCAAACTTTGGGCAGAGTGCAGCGAATCTTATGAAAGAAGGGGGAGATAGAAAGAGCTGGAAGGGTCTGGAGTTCCACAAGGAGAACAACAGAACCAAAAAAATTTGGGCCCAGGGGCCTTTTCTGAGACTGATACTCCAACCAAGGACCATTCATGGAGATAAACTAGATCCCATGCACAGAGGTAGCCCATGGCAGCACAGTCTCCAAATGGGCTCCCTAATAAGGGGAGCAGGGGCTGTCTCTGACATGAACTCAGTGGCTGGCTCTTTGATCACCTCCCCCTAAGGGGAGGCCACAGAAGAAGACTATGAAAGACAGTCCTGATGAGACCTGATAAGCTAGGTTCAGACGCAAGGGAGGAGGACCTCTACTATCAGTGGACTGGGGAAGAGGCATGGGAGGAGATGGGGGAGGGAGAAAGGGTGGGATTGGGAGGGGATGAGGGTGGGGCTACAGCTGGGATACAAAGTGAATAAATTGTAATAAATAAAAAATTATATTAAAAAAAGAATAACCCCCTAAAACAGAAGATCCCAAGAAACTAAGTGTTAAAGGACACACTACCACCCAAAGCACAGAAATACAGAAGATCAGTTGGGATTATTTTGAAAAAAATACCTATTAACAAACTGGAAAATCTAGAAGAAATGGAAACATTTCTGGATATGAAAGACCTACCAAAACCCAAGCAACAGTAGACAAATTCAACAGGATATAGAAAAACCTGAACAGACTAGTAATGAAATAATAGTAATAGACTAGTAATGAAATAATAATAAAATGGTAATAAATCCCCCAATGCAGAAAAGCCAGGACGAGATGGCTTCACGGATGAATTTTACCAAGATTTTAAAAAGTAACCAGTACCAGGCCTTCTCAAATCAATAGGTAATCATTTGGGCTAGCATTACCATTACCAAAATTTAATAGGAAATTGGAAGGATCTATAAACCAACAGCCCCAATCAACATCATCTTCAACAAAATACTAGTAAATCACATAGACTGCACACTGTAATCAGGTAGGCTTCATTTCCAGATGCAAGAATGGTTCAACCTCTACCAATCAATAAACTACCGCGTGATATAAAGTCATTAGAGTAGATGTAGAAAAGTCATTTGATAAAGCTCAACATCCATTCATGATAAAATACAAGAACAAGTTATGTATTATAAACTCACAACTAATATCACGCTGAATGTTGAAGAACAAAGTATTTCCTCCTCTTATCATGAACAAGACAAGATGTACACTTTCCTTGCTCTTTTCAAGGTCACATTAATTTTAGTCAGAGAAATTAGCAAAAGAAAAGGGCAAATACATAGGAAAGAAGGGAGTCAAATTATCCATGCTTGCAGATGCATAGAAAAAAAATCTTAACAGTGGATATGGTGGCTCACACCTGAAATTTTAGCACTCAGGAGGATGACAAAGAAGGTTGTCAGTTTGAGGCCAGTCTGGGCTAAAGAGTAAACCTTTTTTTAAAAACAAAGCAAAGCAAAACAAAACAGGGTCTGTTAGGTAGGAACCAGTAAAGACTTCACCAGAACTAGTAGGAGAGAGGAAAAGATTGAGTAAAGTAAGAGGATAGTACCAACAGAAGAAGCTTTTGATGTGGGCATATCTAGCACCTATCTCTATAGCTAGATATAAAGTACTCCACACCCTTCTCTGAACTCTAATGTACTTTAGATGAAGACCTCAAAAGTTCATTCAAATCAACTCTGTCTACTTAGGACTTTATGCTACTTAGGACTCTAGTTTCTGTTTTTAAAATAGTCCTTCCACACATTATGAATTTGCTAAGGAGGAATTTACGAATGAAATCTAAGTCACAGTAACCACAAAGCATACCTAGGTATAAACTAAGGAGGAACAATTCCTCTACAAAAATGTACAAAACACTGATAGAAAAACTGAAGATACTAAAAGATGGAAAGACTATTTTTCATGGATTGGCAGAAATCATTAACTGTCCAATTGCTCAAAGTGATCTAAGGATTCAATGCAATCTCCATAAAAACACTGCTCTCCTTTGAGGACTAAGATCATCAGTCAGTGGGTAAGAACCGGGCTGTACAAGCATGTGGGCCTGAGTTTGAATGCCCAAGATCCAGCAAAAAGCTGGCCGTGGCTATACACCTATAACTCGGAGGTGGTTGGAGGTAGAAATAAGAGAATTGCTGGTGCTTGTTGGCTGCTAGCTCAGCTCCAGGTTCAGCGAAAGACCTTGTCTCAGTGGAATAAGGCAGAGGGTGCTAGGAGTTGAGTAGCTCTGTTATAGCCAAGAGCTGAGTCTTCCTTGGCTACTATATTTGTACACACGGTGTGCACAGCAGCACACCATGCGTGCAAGTACTACAAAAACATACCTACATACACTTTCTTTTAAAAAAAAAAGATTTTATTTATTTTATGCATATTAGTGCTCTAAGAGGGCAGTAGAGGGTATAGATGGTTGTGAGCCACCATGTGGTTGCTGGGAATTGAACTCAGGACCTCTGGAATTGCAGACAGTGCTCTTAACCGCTGAGCCATCTCTCCAGCCCCCTACATACACTTTCAAGAACATAATTTTAAAAAGAATAAGTCAACAAATGGCATGCTGCACAAACCAACAACAAAACCCCATAAAATTAGTAGGCAAGCCCAGAAGGTCTCCATCAAGAAGAGCAAAGCTGGAGGCATCACAACACCTGAGTTCAAGACAGAAGGCAGAGCTCAAGCACCAAGCAGTGTGGCACTGGCATAAAAGGCACATTTACCAGTGAAACAAAATAGAGAATCCAGAAACAAACATGCCAACAATAACAATATAACCCTTAGCCTAGACAGACACCAACTTAACCTACCAAATACTTCAATCTAAGACCTGAAACTCTGCAAGTACCACCAGAAGACTTCAAGATTTGGTACAAATGATAATTTATGAATAAGATGCCAATAGCTCAGAAACAAAAGCAAGAATTAATGAGATGCAATCAAATTAGAAAGCTTCTATGCATCAAAACAAATAACAGAGCAAAAAGAAAATCTACAGGTGCCAACTATTCAGAAGGTATAGAGACCTCAAAAACTTTATTATGCAATAAAGAATACAATTAGAAAATGTGTTTGTGAGCTGAATAGACTTACAAAGTATATCTATATACAACCAATTACTGTAAAAAAAAAAAAAGTTCTGTTTCACTAAAAAAAAGGGGGGGAACAGAATCAGTCCAGTCAGATTGGCTGGTTATCAACCAAACAACAACAAAAACAAATTCTAGTGAGGATGTGGAGAAAAAGAAACCACTGTTGCTGGGAATTCAAGTTTGTGCAGCTACTACTACAACTGTGGAAGTTCCTCAAAAGACTAAAAATAGAACTACCATATGATCCAGCTGTCCCCAAAGGCAGAGCAAAAGGAAATGAAGTTAGCACCATATGAAGAAGAATGGATACATGAATGATTGTAGCAGTATTCACAACTGAAAGGTATGGAACCAGCCCAGGAGTTTGTCGAGATGGATGGATACAGAAAATATGGTGCATGCTCACGCAGTGGGGCACTGAGCCCTAAAGACTGAATTCCTGTTATTCATTCTAGAACAAAGAATACAAATAGGGGGCATGTTAAGCAAGACAAGCCATAATGTTCTCTCTTACATGTGCAAACTTAACTGACATGAACGTGGACTTGTGATAATGAGGGACTGGAAGGGCGGCAGCAGAGAGGTGAGATTTGATGAGTGCATCTCACATGCATGTGTGGAAATACCATACTGAACCCACGACTAAGTACAGTAACATACATAGGAAACCTGAAATCAAAGAGTAAAGCTATTTAAAAGTAAACCAATTAGATGTATTGTGGGCTAATAGAAAATTATATTTGAACAAACTTGACCAACTAAGTGTTTTCCAGGAAACTGAGGAAAAGACTTGTATTATTTACATTTTCCTACCCCTACCCTCTACAAATTATCAGGATAATGATCATGTCTGAGGGATAACAGCTCTGAAGTGTAAGAATACCACATATAAACACAGGGAGAAAAGGATGGTTTAGAGGCAATGAAGAAAGCTACCAAAGAAGAGGGAGAGGGGGAAGGAAAGCCCTGCATTAGAGTGAGCTGGATGGAAGAGTTTGCTTACATTCCCTTTCTAGTGAAATCTGGAAAGTTCTTCATATGCTTTTCTTGATCCTCTCTTGTAACTGTTGCTCCCAGAATTCAAGCAATCTTCTGCCCGTGTCCTAAAACCACAGATCTTTACAGAGAAATAGCTAACCAACCTCACTTCCTTTTGCACCACAGGTATGTATTTCACCTACAGTCATCTTTACTCAGAAAGAAAAGACGCCCTCCGAGTCTTTTCTGTCAAACAGAAGAAAATGTGAGGCAGCATCCCTGCCCATCACACAAGAGAGAAGACGGGCTGGTGGATTACGCTGCAGCTGATACAGCGCTGGGCATCTGCTGGAGAGAAAGAACTTAGAACGACAAAAATTTACAGCATACAGGCACCATGGCACCTTGTTCTGCATCTACTGTGCTGTAAGAACAGATCCTCAACAGGCTCAGAGTATCCTGTTTTACCAGGGCTCTGGATTCATACAAGTTACATTTACACTGTGTGCAGTCTGAATGTTTCCCTGTAGAGTTAATGAGAAAGTCAGTGGAATAAATTCAGTTGACTTGAGAAAACAATTAACTTCTGCAACCACAACTAGCAGATTTATGGGAAGGGACTGTTGTACAATGCCCTCTTTAAATCTAACATGCTCTATGGACAAAAGTCTCTGCCCTTGGAACATATACTTAGAAAACCAAACATCTTCCTGTGTCTTAGCTCAGGTGGCTGCTGTGTCACCAAGTGCACCCTCTACCCTTTACAGAACTTAGCTGTCAGAATACAGAAACTTGTTTCAGGGTTCAGGAGGCTTGGAGGTCCAATATCAAGATGCTAGTCAATTCATTAAGGGTAATGTAGATGTGAAATGTAGCTCTAATCTGCCACTCCAAGCAGGAACACTGCTAGTTTGTGCTGTAGCTAATAGAGATAGGAAGACAACTGGACTTCTTGGATTTGGCAGAATGGACTCTTGAGCTCTTTGGATATATATATAGCCTTTCTAAGACAAGGGTGATCTTGAATCACAGATTATCAGAGCTGCCTCCTAAATGGCATAGCAGCAACTTATCAGCCTGATTTATTTTTTATTTTTTTTTTGCTTGTTTTTGTTTTTTGAGGATTACAGAGGATTTCTCTGTATAGTCCTGGCTGTCCTAGAAATCACTCCGTAGACCAGGCTGGCCTCGAACTCAGAAACCTGTCTGCTTCTGCCTTCTGAGTGATGGGATTAAAAGGTGTGTGCCACCACCACCTGGTTGTCAGCCCTGATTTTTTATGATGATGAGTTCCCTAAGAAAATGGGTCTTCCACTCCGGTACTCTCTTCTTTCTCAGCTCTGACCAAAGTCACCTTTATCAAACCCTTAAATGTGATAGCAGCATTTTAAAACTCTTCCACCATCTCCTCATTAATGTCACAGCAACTTTTCGACTGCTGTGCTTTGGGTGTAATAGTGCCTTGCCTTCTGTATCCACTGCTCTCTCAGGTTGTATTGCTGCAGCAATAAATTAAATTGCTGTGATTAAATTGAGTGATTCTGGAAATAAAAAAGCTCAATACCAAGACAAGTGACAAGTGACTCTTGGGTGTGGATACAGATGGATACCTCCTTGCTGCGTGCTCACATGGTAGAGAAAGAAAGCACTTCCCCAGGTCTCTTCTTGTGGACTTGCTCATCTTCAGAAAGGCTGCCTCTTCGTCCCTAAGTACTTCCCAAAGCCCCACCTCTAAATTCTTCCCACCCAGAAGACGTCAGCATCTGCTAATTCACATCACAAAACATTTTTAGCAGCCCCTTGGTTACCATGAGCTACTACATTATGACTGTGACATGGTTTCAGACAACCACATAGGTACCCACTTTGGTGCCAAATGTACACTTTTCAAATCCAATCTGTGTTTGGATACTTCCAGAGGCGTTGTGTAGCTTTAACCCTACACCGGTGCATACCCAAATACTATTTGTCTTGGCAACCTGTGCTTTCAAAAGCTGACAGGAGAGGACTTGTAGCAAGACCTCGTTTATGTAATTAAGAACATGGTCTAAAGAAGAAGCAGCTTTTTGTTTGTGTAAAAGAAAGAAGCATTTTTGAAGGAACAATTTAACTTTTATTTGGGGGGGGGTTATACAGGTAACCAGGAGGGAGGCTATTATTACTTCAATGGCATACCTTTGAGTTTAATCTTTAAAGTTACAAATTTGGGATCTTTAGAGGTCCATTAGCCCTAAACCTACATGACTCTTCCATCCATGACTGCTCAAAACAGAAAGAACTAGGAAAGAGAGGATTGAGGATTATCTGATTTCCTTCTTTTTGTAAACTTCTGTTTTCTTGTGAAGGACAGGAGGAAATACAGGTTTGAGAAGAAACTTGAGCTGAAATCTGAAATGTGAAGTCTAGGCAGATTCTTTCATTCCTTGGGCATCAGCAAATGTTTGACTGTTGATTTCACAATGAAAAAAAATGTCTTCAGTGCCCACTTCCTCTTCGCTACTCTTGTCTCCTGTGTTTCCAAGGTACTCTGGAATCCACAGCTCTTTAATGCATGCAGGAAAACCTGGTCTGCTACACAATTCTCAAGTTTCCCAGTGTCAAAGGTCTGGTGTTCCTCTTAGCAGATGTACACCTTAAAGTGGAAGCCAAGGTATCTGATGCAGTAGAAATGGATATTTTTGCCCCACTTCAAAACAGAAAACAATGTTCCTTATAGTATTGTTGCAAGAATTCAAACAAGCTAAGCAAAATGGAATGCCTAGTGAATTCACTATCTGGCATCTAATAGTAAATGCTAGATGACTTTCAGTCTCTAGTTGGTGGGAAATACACAATACAGCAAATGGGAAGGCAAATAAAAAGGCTAATATAAAGTACTAGTACTTTCTTGGCTTAAACTTACTTTCTTGTAGTGCTACCTGTAAAGAAATTATATATTTTGAAAATAAAGCTAGTCATGCTACTTTGAACTTGCCAGGTGTACTTTGGAACAAAAAGAAGACACATGTCCTCTGTGAGTAGCAGAAGGTCCATGGTGTTTGTGAAGTCCCAGGCACTGTCTTTGTGTGGCAGATACAAAGGCACCTGACTTCAGTGTCATGACTTTTTCTTCCCAATGATCCCCTGTATGCACATTTATATGATTAGCTGAAGGCTGAACCCCAGCTGAAGTCACAATAATTAGCAAGCATTAAAACTATAATATGCCTAAGTCTCTAGCCATCACAGGAGCTGGAATCATGATACTATCTATCTTTAGGTCACTAATCATTCTGTTGAAGAGATGTACTTTTAAAAAATTGATCTTCTGAGGAGAGATCTGTCGCTTTTTGCATGACTAGTATCCTATCACCTCTCTCCTGGGGAAGCCTAGTTCATAATGTTTGCTTGGGGCTGCCTCCACTGTGTCCGTGACTCAACACCTGACTGAGGCCTGGCCACTGAGTCTATCCCACCTGCCAGTACCAAACACTTGTTCGAAGACCCACATGTCCTCCCAGAGTCCTCCCAGTGCTGCTTCTGCCATCCCTGTGAGGAAGAGAACCTTTCTTTACCTTGAAGTTGCTGGCAGCCACCTTGCCAAGTAGGAGGCACAATCCCCAGAGGAAGAGGCCGCAGCATCACCGGATTCATCAGAGCAACCCTTGAATTTCTTCCTTTGTGAGCTAACAGTCTCTGTGACTACTGTTGTGGACTACTGTCACTTGCACTCATGACACCTGAACATAGGAGTTACACCTATTATTGATAAATATAACCTGGGTATCAGTTGGTGTCATGTCATGCCTAGCAGCAATTCTCTAAGTGTGTGTTTTATCAACAGGAATAAAATTTGTCTAACTCACTGACGTTCTTCTGTGAGGCTTCATAGAAAATACATTAACACATCCTCGTCACCTCTATGGTTTGTTTTCATCGGCAAAATCTTCCCACATACTTAAAAATAAAAGTCACACTGCACAAAACTCATAAGATTATTTTACTAAAATTTAAAAGAGAAAAAATATAATTCAGTTTTCACAAAGAAAAGAATTTTACAGTGAACTCTGGCAACATAGAAGTCATGTTCCTATTTCAGTTTCCAAGGAATGCATCCCTCTCCTGGCCACGCACACGGTAATGTCAGTATGCAGCCGCAGTCTCATGACCTCTAACTGTGAGGATCAATTCTCACCAATCTCAGACACCAGTCCCAAAACACTTCTGTTTCTCTGGTCTGCCTCATTCGGTGGAGAATGCTGCTGGTTCTTGTGACTGTCACCAACCATATGCTCTGGTCCATACAGCTTTCTTCTTAAACTCTGGGAGAACTCTCAAGGACAGCAGTGTGGCTAAAAGGACAAGAACACAGAGCATACTGATGCATTAGACAGAGTTGTGCTATGTCTGAGAAGGTCATTTTGAAAAGGTTTTAAAACAGTAAATAGGAAAACCTGCAGAACTATTGATGTTTGGCATGCTAGTGATGCTGATTTTCTTAATGTCATTACTATTTACATGAAATGTTTCCTCTGTAACAATTTACTTTAAATTTGTTTTCTTTTATACATGAACAGAATTATCTCCATTAAATGTTTAATTAAAGAAAAACCCTACACTTATATTACAGCTGAGTTCTTGTGCTCAGTGAAGTAAGTGTACCTATACTAAATTTTACTTGGACATGTATCTATAATGTGTGTATTTTCTGTTGTGCTATAGGCCCCAAGGAACAATTTAAAGTAGAGAAATTCTGAATAATACCTTCTGGTATTATAAATTATTACATATTTATCTTATTCTAGAATATTAATATATTCAGATGTAATGTAAAATAAAGGAATGTGAAGGAATGTAGAGGACTCAGGTCATTCTAGTAAACCAATGACTATATAAGGTGTGATTTACACTAGTAAAGGTGTGAGTCCTTAAGCCAAGTGATTATTTTCTTTATTGATATCAGTTGTTAGCTTTGTAACTAATGATAGCATATGTTTGCAACAATCACTGGTCCAAACTCTCTGCAGCACACAAAGAGGGAATCCTTTCAGCAGGTCCCTAAGAATGAATAGTAAAAATATCTTGAATCATATCCCTGATCCCCAATGAAGCTCTGTGCTGTATTAGAATCCCCCTGAGGCTCTAGCCCTCAGATACTTCCCATTAACCCAGAATTCTTTAGGAACAAAAATTATTATACCTCCCTTAAAATAAAAAATCACAGTATATCTCCAAGTTAGATAAAGCATTACAGGGTAGGCCAATGGGGAGGGCCCTTCTCAGTGCAATGTCTTATGGCATGCAAGGGACATCAGCAGGAGCCACTGGCTCCAGAATCCCAAGTCCCAAGACATAGTTGACAAGGACAAGCTAGCTCAGGTCATGGGGGCCGATGGGCAAATCATGCCTCATATATGAGTCCAAAATTCTACAAAACTTTCAGAAAGATCTTCCACATTTGGAGTTACCTATAGTCATAACGTACCAGTCTGTGGAGACGTATAAAATAATGAAAGGCCTGGATAATGGGTTTTTAAGATTTAAAAACAATGTTAAAACATGAAAGGTGAAATCAGAACTGTCTGTGTGTATTTTTCTAATTGTTTCACATTACAAATACTCTAAAAGAGTCCTCATATACAGGATAGAGAAAAACTTATGGAAACCAAATGTCTCTGGAACTCTGGATTTCTGTTTGTTGTATTTAAACTTTTCTGAATTTTGCAAATTTTAATTTTAGTTATTTTTAATTATTATTAAAATTATTATTTAAAAATTTTAATTATTTTACCATTATAATATATTCAATACCATTTATCTAAAAGTTCATTTCCTCTTTAACCCATTTTCTGACTCAAAAATGCCACAGTAAGGACACTTTTGAAACCATGTGCCCAATTATGCTCTTCCACATCACAACCAGCAGGGGGTGTTTTCACCCTGTGTTGGGCATAAAGCATGAAAAATACCTTTCAGAAGATCTTTGGACTTCGCTGCAAAGGCTTCATTAGGAATTTCCATGATGCTAAACAGCCAGTCAATGAACTAGGGTGAAAAAGAACATTGTCAGTGAAGTAAATCCCGCCATCTGCATGAGGCCAGTCAGTCTCTTGGGCCTGCACACATGAGAAGCGCGACAGTCTTTAAGCAACTCCTGCAGAGGCTGGAGAAGGAGAAATGAGATGGGAAGAGTAGCATATGAGGATAAAGGGGTGTAGAGATGAGACAGGGATGAAAGATACAACTCCCAAATCAAAAGACCTCACAAGACCTAACCTACTTCCCCTACTGAATACTAAGACCTAGTGTAGCTAGGGTAAGATAGACATGGGCCCAGAGGGCTTTTGTTTACCGTGAACAAATCTCTAGTCACTCTAAGAGGCTCAGAGAGGTTAGCGGTCTTGCCCAAATCAACTTCCTTTGAACAGCAGAGTCAAGATTTGAACTTAGCTACACCTGGTTGCAATGCTATTTTTCTTTGCATCATGCTACCTCCTACTGGTTCAATAAGCATTTTGG